CCATGGACTGGATTTCTCCACTTCAGTTAGCAATCAAGCCAATCCCTCAGAGACGCATCTAAAAGTCAACAACTCTCCTATCACTGCCAAGGAGAAAGAGGCCAAAAAGTCTCCAGGTGCCTCAGCCCAGGACCTGAGGGAAGCAGCCGAAAACAGTTCTGATGTTTTTGAATAGAAACTAGAACTTGTTCACACTTGTACCAGGGTCCTTTCTTCTCATGAGTCTGGGGGTAGGCAGGTTGGGTGAAGGACAGGGTGGTGTGTGGGTGGAGGGTGGGGCGGTGTATGGGTAAAGGACAGGGTGGTGTGTGGGTGGAGGGTGGGGCAGTGTATGGGTGAAGGACAGGGCGGCGTATGGGTGAAGGACAGGGTGGTGTGTGGGTGGAGGACAGGATGGTGTATGGGTGAAGGACAGGATGGTGTATGGGTGAAGGACAGGATGGTGTGTGGGTGGAGGGTGGGGCGGTGTATGGGTGAAGGACAGGATGGTGTGTGGGTGAAGGACAGGGCGGCGTATGGGTGAAGGACAGGGTGGTGTGTGGGTGAAGGACAGGATGGTGTAAGGGTGGAGGGCAGGACAGTATGGATGGTCTATCTTGTCACTAGAAGAATGGACGAATCAGAAGAGGTGATGTTTAAGATAAGCAGTGAGTCCTGGTTAGAGTTAGGCCGGACAAAGGCCTTCGTAGTAGACATTAGACACCAAGAAAGCTGTAAACAGAGACTGAAAGGAGCCAGAATTACATTTGAGGCAGGAAATGTGGCCTGTTGCTGGGGCATATGGCGCAGTAGGCAGCACACAGAGACAAGTGGGGTGAAGACTTACTAGCGGTACTGTGTTTCTCATAGGTTCCAATGGACACTGCTTCTACAGGAGATAAAAGATTATGGATTCCATCAAAATTGATAAACCCCAACATGAACAAGAGGAATCCCTCCTGCTTCCGCTGCTGAGATGCCTCTGAGAAACAAAAGGCCTTTGGAGCAGACAGCGAATCCTACCACCTGGGAACAGCTTAAGAGTTTGTGTGACAGAAGACAAAAGGGAGGCGAATGACTCGGGAACCTGAATGCTACACTTCTTTGTGGTGAAGAGACAGCTGACAGGGACAAGCTATACATAGTGACCATTGTCCCCAATCCTCCAACCTACATAGCAGTGAGTTGGGGAGATACAGATATTCCCTTAGTGGTTAATGAATCTTCATGGCTACCTGGTCCATGTGACAACAGAGGTCCTTCTCATCCAATGGAGGAGGGTAGAGTGATTGGTGATTACACTATGAAACTATGGGGAACTCCTATTTGCATGGGAAATGGAGCTCAATGTCTAAAAATAACCTCTCAACTATGGCTATCCAAAGTTAATATACTGCCTGAGATTACCGTAATAAGTTTTATATGCTTCAAGCATCTGGTTTTAAAGGACAGGAGATTAATGCTACTAGGTCCTTAAGTCTACCCTTCTGTGAGCTGTGGTTACCAACAAGGAATCTGACTGGGTGCATGGGCAACAGTGTAAGAGTGAGAAGCCTCCAGTGTTAATTAAGATCTCCCAAGGAGACGTCATGCTCTGAAGCCCTTTTGGCTCTGCTCAAGAAAAATATTCGTATTCAGAGCTAAGATGGAAACAGTATAATTTGAATGGAACTCTAGAAATTAGTGTTTCTGTTAATGAACTTATCCAATGGCCTGGAGTTGGGATGGCAAGTCTCCTGCAATTTGGCAATTCAGTTCAGACTAACTTGTGGAAATTGGCAAATGCCGTCCACCCTCATAAGGCGTGGGAAAGAAAATCAAACATTAAGGATGATAAATGTAATTTGTCTTTTAGACTAAATCAAAGTTATCCTTTCCTGGTGTGTTCTTAAATTTTTACTTTTGAGAATTTATATATTCTTAGAGCAAGACCAGCAATCTGGATCCCTGTGGAGTTGCCGAGGCCATGACAAGACTCTGCTGTGATGACCCTGGTGCAGAAGCTCGCTGAGGGATCGTTGAGAAGAGCCTGTCGAATGAACTAGCTGTTACAGTTATTTTGGGAATCAAAGCATTGACAGCTACAGCGGCAACAGCTGAAGTGGTGCTTCATAAAGAAATCCAAACTTCTGAATTCATTAGAGACTGGCATAAACATTCAACAAAAGTATGGACTGAACAAAATAAAATTGATGATGTTTGGATGGAAGCTTCACCTCAGCCCTTGGCATCTATACAGTCTGGAATGTTTGGATAGAAGCCACACACCAGTCCCTGTCATCTGTGTATCCAAAGAGTCTGGAATGTCCCCATCCCCTGGGAGTTGCCTCAGTCCAGACTCCGCCCCCAAGAAAGCCCACCAAATGATGACCCCTCTGGCAGGGTATTTAAATTGCCCCTCCCAGATCAAACACGTGGTTTTCTGGGATTCCTTTCCCATCTCCTGGGGGTGGGGGGGTCTGGAAAACCTTCCAGGAGCATTTGTATCCATTAAACCTGGACTTTTTCTAATTCGGTCTGATTTGGACTATTGTGTTGGCGGAGAGGTTTATTGGGGTGCAGAAACTTTTCAGATACCAGGGACTCTGGGTTTCTCATGGACCTAGCAGTGAAAAACCATGAATAGCAATCTGCCAAAAAAGCATGTGATCGTGTTGTGTCTTAAAGAGATCAAGCTGGTCCAGACGGCTGGGTACAAACCACAGGGAACAACCGCTGGAGCCAGTGATCAGTAGCAGCAATTAAAGGATCTTGCAGAGGGACAGGGTCCTGAATGTGAGAGTGGAAAACGGGGAACATGGTGGTGAGATGCAAGGGGGTTCTGAATAACAAAAACTGGGGAGAGAGAAGCTGGGGGTGTGTAGAGGCCCTGAATTCCATCTAGACCATCCAGACTGGATCGGGTAGTGCAGGCTATTAATCCTAATCCCCCAAAAGAGGAAACAGGAGAACCAAGAGTTCAAGGTCAACCTGGAATACACCAGACCCTGTCTTTAAGGAAAGAGAGAGAGAGAGAGAGAGAGAGAGAGAGAGAGAGACAGAGACAGAGACAGAGACAGAGACAGAGAAGGAAAACTAGACATAGTGTTATATATGCCTGTAATATCAGCACTAGTGTGAAGGCAGGAGAATCAAGAGTCCGAGATAATCCTATAAAGGGACTTTGGGGACAGCCCAAGCAATATGAAAGTTTGTCTAAGGAAACAAGGAAAGGTAAGAGATTGAAATTTCTCCTTGTTTCCTCTCAAGCTGAGCATCCATCACTAGTATGTTTTTATAATTTACCCATGATCTAGGTGAATCACAGCCGGATGACTTTTTGAATACTCAGTTTCTATATTGAAAAGATTTGCAGAATCCCGAGAACAGTTAGTTAAAGGGTTTTGTCAGAGTCTCTAGGGTCCCTTGAACATTTTCTTTTCCAAGATGATGAGAAAAAATATAAAATAAAATAGTAAAGGACTGGTTTGTCCCAGGTTCCCCTTGATGGTGTGGCTGTAAGCCCCACTTTCTGCTCCAGTGGGCTCCACAACCCACCCTCAATCAGAATGCTAATTGCTCCCTATCCCTATGCCCAGGCTGTATACAATGACCTATATTATAGGAAGTACATTTTCCTATCTCATTCAACCTTGTATCTTCAGCACAGAGTCGCTCTCCCTAAACGTTTGTTAAATGCACTCATAAATGAGTGAATGAACAGAGTCATAGATGCATAAATGAAATGAAAAGTCAATCAGGACCAAATGTAACCTCAATGGTAGACACTTTCTGCAAAATGAAACTCCCCTACCATTTTTTCAACACATCTCTTAATAAGTGCTTGCTGAATACACGCATGCATGAATAAGTGAGAAGATGAATAATGAATTTTTTTTTAAAAAGGCAAAGAACAAAATGTGACCTGGACAGATGACACAAGATGACACTTCCTGGGCCCGAAGAGATTGCTCAGTGATTAAGAGCACTGGCTGCTCTTCCAGGGCACCTGGGTTCAGTTGCTAGCATGCACACTGTGGCCCACAACCATCTGTAATTCTGGTTCCAGGAGATCCAATGCCCTCAATAACAATCCATAATTCCAGCTTTAATATGCTGCCTTCTGATCTCCGAGGGCATCAGGCAGGCATGTGGTGCACAGACATACATGTAGGCAAAACACTTAGACACTTAAAATAATTTTCAAAAAGAGGCTTCCTAGTCTATGTTTTCCACATGTTAAGTTTTCATGAGCAAGACACTTTTTTTTCTTTTTCTTTCTTTCTTTCTTTCTTTCTTCCTTTCTTTCTTTCTTCCTTCCTTCCTTCCTTCCTTCCTTCCTTTCTTTTTTAATGGTTTTTTTGAGACAGGGTTTCCCTGTGTAGCTTTGATTGTCCTAGAACAAGCGGTTTTTAAATATGATTTAAAGACATGGAAATATCCAACTGAATCAAAAACAAAACCTCAAAAGCATTAGCATGAGTTATTTCTGGGTAATAAAACCAAACATAAGAAGAGATGAATTGGGGAATATATCATTTCCCCTTAAAACACCCCTGAATTATTTTATGCCTAAATACATGCTAGCTGATTTTTAAACAGAATGTATCTTGATGAAATTTAAATATTAAAATACAAAATTGGTCATTTTTTTTCTCTGAGGCAGGGTCTCATATTTACTAGACCAGCCTTGAACTTAATGCAAGGCCAAGGTTGGCCTTGAATTTCCACCTGCCTCCATTTCCCAAGGGCCATGACTATAAGTGTGCACCATCACGCCTGCTTTAAGTGGTGCTGTGACTGGAGCCGGGACTTCATCACATTAGGCGAGCCTTCTGCCATATGAGATCCCTCCCCAGCTCCAAATCAGTCAAGTTCTGAGCTACTGCTGAGTCAAAGTGGCATGCTGTACTTTTGGTCCCAGAAGTTGAGCATGTTCCTGTTTTCTTCTTGCCTTTTTTTTTTTTCTTTTCTAATTTTTTGCTGAGTCCTAGTTACCAAAGAGTATTGAACCAAAGCCAACTGGATAAACAGGATCTTGAACTTTAATAGGGCAGTTGGCACGGACCAAACCTGGGCTGGCCAGGCCTTCTGACTGGTACCCGGAGGTAGACATAAAGGAACTGAGGAAGTCAATGAACTCTGATTTTCATGACGATCTCTTGACATCAGAATTCCCTTTTTGTATATACACGTGTCTCCTCTGATCCTGTGGAGATGAAAATTGACATCCACACTCATATTCTACCAAAGGAATGGCCTGATCTGGAAAAGGTAATGTTAATTAAAGTGCTGGATTCTTTCTGAACCTTTCCCTGTGTCTCTCAACGCCTCTATTTATAGATCTCTGTCCTCTTTGGAGATGGAACAGAATGCCAGTCTTCTTCGCTCTGGGGGAGTGATCTTTAAATGGCTTGGTGGCTCTAATTTCCTACTATTTAAAGGTGACTTTTACATTCATTTCGACAGAGCAATGGCTCAAAGAAATAAGGGGCTTCTTGAAGCTTTTCTTTCCCTCGCATGACACATCCTTTCAGATTCCTGGACGTCTTAAGTCAAGCAGTTTTGCTGCCTCTTAGATAGTGTGTTCCGCTGCTGGAATGACACCTGCCTACCACAGGATCGAAAGCCTCGGTCGCAACTAAAAGACCATTGAAAAAATAGGATGTGGTCGGTTTCCAAAATGTTTAAAATAGGTTCTAGACGCCCCAGGAGATAGCTTTGTGAAATGTCTTTCCAGTCTATTTCAGAACTCTGTCTGAAATCTTTCCTGCCTGATCGTTAGACTGTGAACCTTGTTAGGGAGACCTGGGAAGCAGGCATCTCAGAGATCCCCAGAGCTGATGACATGAAATTTTTGTACATTGGTTTCTTTAAAGTGCGTTCTCTGTAAAAAAGAAAAAAAAGGCGGTAGATCTGTGAGCATGGCTCAATGGTAGACTGTTTGCCTAGCATGCCTGAAGCCCTGGACTCCATCTGAAGCACCGAGGGGGGTGGGGGTGAGGGGTGTATTCTCTGAGTTTCCCTAAGAAAGGAAACTTTCCTTAAAGATTTAATTCTAATCGTGTGTGGCAGTGTGTGTGTATGTGTGTGTGTGTGTGTGTGTGTGTGTGTGTGTGTGTGTGTGTGGCCAAAGACATTAGCTCTCCTTGAGCTAATGTTACAGGTGCCAGGGTGCTGGGATTAGAACTCGGGTCCTCTGGAAGAGCTACACACACACACACTCTTAACCTCTGAGTAATCTCTTCAGCCCACTTTCTTAACAGCTTGTAAAGTTGGTGTCAGTGGGCTGAAGACAAATACATGGTGTATTTCAGACCAGGAAGGAAGGAAAGGAAGGAGGGAGGAAGGAAAGGAAAGAGAGAGGGAGGAAGGGAGGGGTACTGAAAAAAGAAGGTGGGAACCTAGAAGAATCTTGTAACTACCTAGAAGTTAGTTTAGGCCAGTATCTGATTTTACTGGTCTTTCCTGTCCTGGAGTATTTTCACATTACTGGTAATGTTTCATCTTTATTTTGTTTAGGGTGGAAACTAATTAAAAAGTGGGTCATTGTGCAAGCAAATATTCTTCTCACTGTTATCGCATAGAAAAATGCTAACCTCTGGCTTAGTGTGTAGCTCAGGAGATGGAGTATTCACAAGGCCCTAAGTTCAGTCTCCAGCACTGTATTAAACTGGGTTCATGCCTGTTGCCCAGAATTCAGGAGGTGGAGGCAGGAGAATCAGATGTTCAAGGTTATTCCCCATTACACAGAGAGTTTAAGGCCACCTTGGCTTATATGAGACCCTATCTCAAAGGAAAAAAAAAACTTTTGATCTCAAGCATTTCTTTGCCCATTGGTGACCCGGGAGGTAGAAAGAACAGACTGAAATATGGAACTAGTACTGAGCTGTCTGAAATCCTTTCCCATCACGGCCAATGGAAACAGAGAACCCCATTGACCTCACAGTCCGCAGTGGAGCCTGTCTGCTTGGGAACGTCTTGTCCTGGTCACATCTTCTAAGTGTAAACAACTCTTCGTGATGTTAATGATTTTCTGGGAGGCCTGTACCACCCACTTCCCAGGAGCCCTGTGGAAGCGACTTGAGAGGGCTGTACCACCCACTGCCCCACGGAAGCAACTTGCAGTGTCTTTCCTCTTACCGTATTGTTTTCAACCCCTGGCTTATGAGGAATCATCTGATAAGTGCCGTGGTGAATATATTATGTATAAATTATATTATGCTTCCTATCCTGACAGTTGTAGGAAAACACAAAGACACACACACACATTCATGTCAGTTCTCTGTCTAGTGGGAGCAAGATTTTCTTTTTGCTTGGACCTCATAAAGCACACACAAAAAGCCATGTGAAATGCCCAGGGTTCCATGGTGGTTTCTGCTCTGAAGCTGCTCAAGTGTCGTCCCCCCCCCCCAGGACTCCTTTCTACCAAGAAATTTTATGCCACCCAACATAAACTAGTGTATAAAATAGGTGTGCAAATTGAACATATACTGAAACCTACTTTAAAACAATTCTTTAATATGTGTTAATGATAAAAGGCAAATTTTCACACCAATGATATAGATGTGTTTGTTTTTACATAAAAAATTAAATCTTAGCTGCTTGGTGGTGGCTCACACCTTTAATCCCAGAAGGCAGAGGCCGAAGGATCTCTGTGAGTTCAAGGTCAGCTGGGCTACAAGAGCTAGTTACAAGACAGGCTCCAAAGCTACAGAGAAACCCTGTCTCACAAAAACAAAACAATAAAAAAATCTTGGCTGAACATTTAACACTGCAGGACAAAGATCATCTCCAGTTCTTTTCAGAATTATGGATATTTTGTTCCTATAACTTTCAGTGCTGAGAATGTTACATAGCATAAGTATATAGTATAGAATGGCAGAAGTATTTTTTGGGCCATTCCACAAATCATTGGGAATTCTGTCCTAATCCCAAGCCAAAATTCTTTGGGCCATTTTATGAATTTCAAGCCAGCAAATCCAACAGCAAAAAAAAAAAAAGAAGAAGAAGAAGAAGAAGAAGAAGAAGAAGAAGAAGAAGAAGAAGAAGAAGAAGAAGAAGAAGAAGAAATTTTAAGACAGGGTCTCATATGACCCCAGGTGGGCCTCTCTGTGTAACCATGGATGACCTTGAACTCTTGACCTTCTGCCTGTTGCCTCTTAACTGTTGGGACTGGAGGCCTGAGCCATCCTGCCTGTTTTTATGGTGCTGGGGATCAAAGCCAGGACTTCGTACATGGTTAGCAAGCCCTCTACAGACTGAGCTACATTCTCAGCCCGGGGACAGCAATATTTAAAACAAGCATTCTAACACAGTACAATCCAAAAACATACTCACAGGATACTTACAAGCTGAGCCATGGCAGCGGGAAATATTGAAAGTCTTTGTTTTCCATAATGAATCCATTATGTCTCTCTATGAGCCGGAAACTATATGTACGACAGTCACTGCGATTTATTGCATACAATAGTCTCGACTCTCAGCTGAGGTGTTTCGGGCAGTGTTCCTGCACAGTGCAAAGTGCACAGGTCGTATGTTCAGAACCAGCTTCAGGGGAGTTGCGCAATGCAGCATGGGCAGACTGCCAGAACCACCTCGGATTCATGACACGTTTGACTTTGAATTAATTTTTGATCATCGCATGTTTTGCTGTTGACAAATTTTTCACAACACACATTAAGTGATCACCACGAAGGATTGGGACCCATAGTTTAAGAAGTGGGCTCTAGAGGACCCTCCCTGCCTGTACTCTCCTTGAGAGAGTGACCATCATGACCCATCCACCTAGAGGATGTCACACCAGATTGCTACCTCCTTGTCTAGATGGGAATCTTGAAGGAACTAAGAAAGTTCTGTGGTCTAAATGTATGTCCTCTCAAAATTCAGATATTGAAACCGTCCCTTGCAAGCGAAAGGACACAGAGGCGGGACTTCAGGGAGCAGCTAAATCTCGAGGAACTGGGTGATTCTTATAAAAACATTCCAGAGGTAGCTCTACATGTTGTTCTTGGTGTGAGACTCGGGAGGAACCGGAACAGCCTCTTACCAGAGCATGAGTCTGCACATTATTTGAACTTAGATGTCCTAGCTTTCTGAAACTGCCAGAAATAAATGCCTGCATTTAGAAGCCTCTGGTGATGGTGCTGTGTCAGAGTACCCCACAGGGACTAAGACAGAATAAGTCAGAAAGGGATTTTCAGTTCCAGCCCAATATAGGTAGACTACACAAAGAATCCCATGTTTTGTCCATTCTTTTCTTTCTCTCTCTCCCCTCCTCTCTCCCCGACTCTCCCCAGTCGGGGTCTCATTGTGTAGCCTGGGTTGGCATCCAACACATGATTCTCCTCCTCAGCTCCCTGAGTGCTGTGTTACAGGCCTGCATGACCACCCAGCCTCTACTTGCCTTCTTACTGTGGGATCTTAACTTTAAGCCAGTCTTCACAACTCCCTCCCAACAGTTCAAGCCAATGCCCACGGCTTCTCGGGAGCACATTCTCCGGCATCCTTGAAAAGAATGCTCAATTCTTTCCCAATAAAACCCTCCATCTGAGCACAGGAGGCTGTTGGCAGCTAAGTCCTAAAAATAAAAGCCTTCCCGCTCTCCGTCTTGGACAACCAGAGGAGCCTAGAACAGAGCCTGCTCTTTGTAGGGAGGAGAGAAAGCTTTCCACGCTCTCGCCTCCCTTTCCTGCCTCCCCTCCCCCCCAGCCCCGCTCCATCTGGAGCAGAGAACTGGACATCTATAGCCGACAGTTTCCAGGTGCCCCACCTTCTGGACCCTAAAGGCATTCTTTAAACTCCTTGAAAAACTGAGAGATAAAGAATTTGGAGTTACATAGGTGTATGTCCTGGAAACTTCTTAAGCACCAAACCAAAGTACACATCCGAGCAAAAGTCTTAGTGGCTTTTTGTACTACCTCCCCATCCTCTCACCAATTCCACTGAAGGAGGAGGTGTATTTAGTCCCTTGAAGCCTCACATGCTGCAGCCAGATAGGGGATTCCTCAGACAAAGAAGTGCAAGAGTAATAGTCATCACACTTCAGATCTCTGGAGAGTAAAGGAAAAGAATGCTGAGGAGGTAACTCAGTAGAGGACCTGAGTTCAGTCCCCAGAGCCTTTGCAGGAAGCCAGGGATGGTGATATGCACCGATCATCCCGCACCAGGAAGGTAGAGACAGACTGACCCCTGGGGTTTGTTGACCAGACAGCTTAGCCTAATTGCTGAACCATAGACCGATGGGAGACCCTGCCTCAAAAAACCAAGTGGATGGAACCTGAGGAGGAGCAATATTCTCCATATGTACATGCCCCTGCACACATGTGTGCTCACACATGAGCACACACTCATACACAAGAAAGATAGATGGTTTAATTTATATAAAACATCACAATAATATCTACATTATTAACCCAGCTTGACAGGTGAAGCACTTGATTTTCAGAAATGAACCCAGGGGGCTGAAGAGATGGCTCAGTGGTTAAAGAGCACTGGCTGCTATCCCAGAGGTCCTGAGTTTGGTTCCTGGCACCACATGGCATATTGCAACCATCTGTAATGTGATCTGGTGCCCTCTTCTGGCCTGCAGGCATATATACAGGCAGAACACTGTATTCATAATAAATAAATCTAGGAAGGAAGGAAGGAAGGAAGGAAGGAAGGAAGGAAGGAAGGAAGGAAGGAAGGAAGGAAGGAAGGAAGGAAGGAAAGAAGGAAGGAAGGAATCCAGAGCTCTGTGAGTCCCCTCCAGAACAATCTAACCCCATCCAATGGAGAGATTTCTCTGTTTCTCAGTGTCCTTCCCCAGTTCTCCCATTCATATAAACCCACAGAGGGAGATTCATCATGGGACTACAATCCACAGGTCAAGCAACCAGATCTTTAATACAGTAGACATTTCTGTGGGGGTGATGGTTAGCCAGTGTTGGGATAATGACACTCCAGTGGCCATAATTCCCTGAAGGATGGGAATGAGTTAAAGGGAGACATATCTATGTGAGGCTAGAGTCTTTCTCTTATTCCCTTATTTCTTGCCTTTATTATCATAGTAGAACAAGTTGGACTTATTTTTGTTTTGTCTTTTGAGACAGTATCTCATATATCCTAGGCTGGTCTCGAACTTGCTATGTAGCTGAGGATAACTTTGAACTCTTGGATCTCCTGCCTCTACCTCCAGAGTTCTGGGACCATGGGTTTATACCACTATACCTGGTTTATGCAGTGCTGGGATGGAACCCAGGTCTTTGTGAATGCTAGGCAAGCTCTCTACCTACTACCCATGTCCTTAGCCATCTAGAATAGGTGTTAGAGTGGGATTAACTAGCAGAATGCCCTTTGACTTCAATTGTTTCTTAGTAGGGATAATATTTTAAAATGCCTATTTCTGATCTTTTCTCACAGTTTCTCCAAACTTTCCAACAGACTCATGAAAAGAATAAGTCAGTGATATTTTGTTTGGGGATCTTAAGTATCTTTGGAAGAAATACTATCTCTTTTCAAACCTGCCTTTTCTTCTTAAATATTAATAGGCATACCCCCACAGCCTCCACTACCTTGTGCAATGATGAAAAGAGCAGAGTCAACACATCTGGGGTGATGATTAACTAGTGGTTATAAAGAACTAGTTTTGACAGATCTTTTGTTTTTACTTGCCATGGTGATTTCAAACAGAGGTAGGGTCAGGGTCAGAATTTCTTTCCTTTTTGTTTTTTCTTTCTTTCTTCCTTCCTTCCTTCTTTTCTTCTTTCTTTCTTTCCTTCCTTCCTTTCTTTCTGAGACAGGCTTTCTCTGAGTAGCCCTTCTTCAGGAGTTCTATTGAGCATGTGATAAAGGTATGAAGTCCCCAAGAAGTTAAAATATCACTTAAAAGTCAGGCAAGGTAGCACATACTTAATCCCAAGTACTCAAGAGACTGAGACAGGATGACGGATTCAGGCAGAAGTTCAAGGAAAAACTCACAAACGACAATAAAATTAGCTCTTCCTCTATCTCTCTTACAGTTTTTTTTTTTAAGACAGTGACTCCTGTAGCCCAATCTGGTCTCAAACTCCCTATCAGGAATGACCTTGACCTCTAGATTGTCCAACCTCCACCTCCTGAGTGATTAGAGATGTGAGCCACCATGCCCAATTTATTTGGTGCTGAGGGTGGAACCCAGGGCTTCTCACACGCTAGGCAAACATCCTACCAGCTGGGCTGCATCCCCAGCCCAGACACAGGAGATTTTCTTTCTCTATAAATTTATCAGTTTAAAGGTAAATTTATTTAATGAAAATATTGAGCAGGTATGGAGGAGGGAATAGACAGAAAGATGGTGTTTGATGGGACAGAGTTTGGAAACCTGTGCCTGGAGGGTACACCTTGGCTGCAGGCCCATCTCCTTTACTGACTAAGTCTAACCATGCTTCTCCTTGCTGCAGAAGTTCGGCTATGGAGGCTGGGTGCAGCTCCAGCAGCAAGGCAAGGTGAGTTTCTCTCCGCACATACCTACCGCACATACAGCACATACAATGATGGTATGTCTGGCTTAGCGCGTTGTAGGCTGAGCATCCATGAAACTCAACTCTTTCCCCTTGCATTCATCTTGTAGTAGGCTAGGAAGTAGCCCCTAAGTTTCCCAGAAATAGTAGGAAAAATAGGAGTGACTTCAAGCAGCAACACCTATGAAATAAAAACTAGAATTGAAACACCTCTACAAAAAACTCTTATTAATCTTTTTTAATTTTGTTAAATTTGCCTTGGAACTAATTTTAGCATTTCTTGAGCAGAACCAAGAAAGTGGCTTGACCCCCTCTACGGGTTCTTCCTATATTAGAACTGAAAAAATTCGTGGATTGGTTAGGAGAAATTAGATGATGAAGATGTCGAATCAGCTGGCCCTGCGCTGTTACAAAACCCCCTTACCTTCACTGCCCAGATATTGCTTCCCTAGAGAAACATGCTATGGTCTATCCCAAAGGTCTTTTCCAGGCCTATTGTGTCACAGGTATGACATCTTCTAGACACAGATCGCCCTCCTGGGTTTCACAGCCAATAGCTCAGATCACCAAATGATGGATCAGCCATCCTCTGTCACATAGGTAGAAAGGGCCTGTCTGTGTTCAGCTGCCGACACCTACACAGCACAACCCTTCAATACCAAACATGAAAGGCAGGAGAGAGAAAAGCTGAGCCCCATTAAGTAATTGAATTTTTTTATTTATTTATTATGTATACAATATTCTGTCTGTGTGCGTGTCTGCAGGCCAGAAGAGGGCACCAGACCTCTTTACAGATGGTTGTGAGCCACCATGTGGTTGCTGGGAATTGAACTCAGGACCTTTGGAAGAACAGACAATGCTCTTAACCACTGAGCCATCTCTCCAGCCCCAAGTAATTGAATTTTTATCTCCGTGCTGATGAAAGGAAAAATCCCTCAAACTATATGGAAATGAAACATGTTCCAAACCATTCACAAAAAGACTAATCCAGGTTGGGAAGATGGTTCCACCGATAAAGGCCTTGTGCTGCAAGCATTAGCAGCTGAGTTCGATTCCGCAGTACCCATGTTTAAAAAAAAAAAAAAGACATGGTAATATGTGTTTGTAATCCCAGCACTATGAAGATAAAGACAAGTGGGTCCGTGGGGCTCTCTGATTGGCCAGTCTAGCCTACTTTGTGAGTTCCAGGCCAGTGAGTTTCAAAAAATGAGAAGGAAGGAAGGAAGGAAGGAAGGAAGGAAGGAAGGAAGGAAGGAAGGAAGGAAGGAAGGAAGGAAGGAAGGAAGGAAGGAAGGAAGGAAGGCAAGATGGACAGCCCCCAGAAAAAGGATGCCTGAATCTGACCTCTACACATAGTCACATGGACGTTTGCCGCCTGAATGGTCGGTCACACTCAAGAACACAGGATTTATCCAAGCCGGTTGCCTTTGCTGATGTGGTTTTTCTGGCTCAGGGAGAAGCAAAGATGATGAAAGACGGGAAGGTCTTCAGAGTGGTCCAACAGAACTGCTGGGACCCCGAAGTTCGTATCAGAGAAATGGACCAGAAAGGCACGTACGATGTGAAATGCTCTCAATGTTTCCACCTGTTGTAAAGGAGCACCTACCTTAAAGTTGATGATCACGTGATATGATTTATGGAATGGTGACTTTGTTTCCTGTTTCCCTGTTACAGCTTCATTAGAGGGAAAGGGGTCATTGCAAGTCCATGCTTCTAGAGCATGAGTTTGAAAGTTTTATTAGTTTAAAGACAAGATGGTATACTATCAAAATGATAATAGTGCATTTTATTCCTTAAAATAGGTCCAGAAAGTGGTTCAGTGGGGAAAGCGCTTCCCACACAACTGTGTGGGTCTGAGTTCAGATCTTCAGAAGCCACGTAAAGCCAGATATAGTCGTGGAGGTGGCTATGATCTCAGCATTCCTGTAGTGAGATGGAAGGCAGGGACAGGAGAACCCCAGCAGCTCACAGGCCAGCTAGCCTGGTACACTACAACCCCTGTGCTCCTGGGTAAGATGGTAACCGAGACAGAATCTCATAGACAGCCAGGAGCCATGAACAAAGGGAAAGGTGAGAACTGATACAGAAGGTTATCCTGTGATCTCCACATGCATGTTGTGGCACAAATGGTTCATTCACGCACACATACGCATACACACGCACACATGCACACACACACACGCATGCATGCTCGCACATGCTTTCTTTGTCTTCTTCTGTCAACTCCCTTCCTCCCTACAAGTCTCTTTTATGCTCTTTTGCTTTGTTTGTGATCCACTGATTTATTTATTTATTTATTTATGTATTTTTGGTTTTTCGAGACAGGGTTTCTCTGTGTAGCTTTGGAGCCTGTCATCACACTCACTCTATAGACCAGGCTGGCCTTGAACTCACAGAGACTATCCTGCCTCTGCCTCCCAAGTGCTGGAATTAAAGGTGTATGCCACCACCATCCAGCGTAATCCACTGAATTTTAACCAGAACCCTCTGTGTGACCACAGGCTAACCTGGAGTCTGGTGGGCTAACTATGAGCTACTCAACTGAAGATAGTAACTACCCATCCCCCAGAATCCATCAGTACATCCAGTAGTTCAACAAGGTGGGCATAACCCAGTGAGCCCTGCTGCAAGGAGTCGATCTGTAACTGACTGTTGATAGAACCAGTCTGATGCAGGCCCATCACTTTCTTCAGATTTTTGAGACAGGGTCTCATGTATAGCCCACGCTGGCCTTGAACTCTTGTTCAAGGTGGCCTTGAAGTCTTCTTCCTCCTGTGTCCTCTTCTGGAAGCACTATAATAGCAGACTTGCACCCCCGGGCCCAAGTAGAATTGTGTTTTATTTCACAGTCCACAAAAAAAGGAGTCACCCTGGCAGCACCAAATGAATAGGGCTTTCTGGAAGTTTGGAATAGGGTGGCATGCACTTCTGTCCAGGGCTGTCTGATAATCACTGTTGAAATGCATATCCAACTAACTTTGAAATCCAGCTGTGCAGAAAGCTGGCAGCAACCCTGTAGGCTGCTCTGCAGGACACCTGCATAGCCTTGAGTCAGCACCAGCACACACAGGGGTTGTGTAGGGGTGTGGCTTGGAGAAGCCGTGTTTCCTGCATCTCTGGCAAAGAACAACCTTTCCCTGAAATGTGAAAAGAGAACAAGGGCCCACCATCTCGAGAGGAAAACAGTGACACTCAGACTTGGTTCCCAGGAGTCAGAAATTGCCGCTTATGATTGCAACAGAAGTGCACTGTGTCGTCTCCTTTGTTTTTTGTTCTTATTATTTTGTATGTTTATCTCAGTTGCTCTCCTCGAGGCAACAGTCCCAACTCACTTTCAATGGGCATTGTCTTTGCCCCCACACACCATTCTAAGCACCTGACACAAATTAACTCGTTTAGTTCCTACAATGACCCCCGGAGGTGGGCTCTCTTCCTATCACAGATTTTCAGATTCCTGGATTGTAGACTCTGGAACCAAACTCTGGGGACTGCAGGAAATTTTATCCAGGCTAATTTAGGAGCTGAATTAAGGGCACTTGTCATGCATGACTTACAGTGGAAAGCTCTAGAAAAAAAATGGAGACCATGAAAAAAGATGGGGGAAAGTGACAAGAAAGTAGAAGAAAAGCTAGCTGCGAAAATGAAAGAAAAGGGATGAACAGGCGTGGAAAGGGACCAGGGAGAGGGATAACAGGGTGACTATGACCAACACACGTTACATACATGTCTAAAAGTGTCGTGATGAAATCCATTACATGCATGATTAACACATGCTATTTTTCTTTAAATGGTGGAGAAATACCTTACCTAAAGAAAGTTTTGTCACAAGGAGTGTAGAAGAAATCCTGGGCAAGTAGGGTCAGGTCATCCTATGTCCAACCTTCGCCCCTCTGTAGCACTGAGGGTAGGGGAGAGAGAGCATGCGCGAGGGAGGAGCAGTGAGGAGAGCCGGCAGGTCGGGTGGGAGCTGCCAGCCTCCTTGCCCTGGGAAAAGCTCTTCTCCTCACAGGTCTGTCCCTGTGTTCCAGGAGTGACGGTGCAAGCTCTTTCCACGGTTCCTGTCATGTTTAGCTACTGGGTGAGTGTGAAACCTCAAATCATCCTCCTGGGGATGAAGGCCCATGTCCAGCTCAAAAGGTGACAGACAGCTTAAACCTAGAAATTGGCCCCATCAAGCCTGTCTCCTGTTTATTTATTTTTTTGTTTCATTGTTTGTTTTTGAGATAGACTCTCCTATAGCCTAGGAAGTCTTTAGCCTTGCTTTGTAGCCGAGGATAACCTTGAACTTCTGATCCTCCTGTCTGTCTCCTGAGTACTAGGATCCAGGTAGGTTTCACCATGTCCAGTTTATACAGTGCTGGGACTGGAACCCAGGCTTCTTACATGCTAGGCAGGCACTCTAAGCCACATTCCCATTCCAGAGGTTCCTTTATAGGTCAGTAGCATGTTCTCCCCAGACTGCCTTCTTATTCTTGCTTCAGGACAGTAGCCAGTATGTGGATCTCAGACCCAATCTAGATTCACACACAGTTCAGCGGTAGACTGAGTCCCCACCAGAGCGTGCCTGTCTAGATTAACCCTTGCTGTGCCTTGCTGGATTGCTGATAAGCCAGTGCACTCTGAGGTAAAAATTTTGAGATAGGATAATAATGACCAACTATGTTATACCTCCTGATAAACTGTACAAAAGGGGAGTCCTAGACCCCTTTCCACAAGTCAACAGTCCTCAAGCACTGAGAGTTTCAGAATTGCTTTTGAGACCACGGAGGGAACTTTTGATACAGAGCTGAGAACTCACTAACCTGGTAGTTGTTGTGGTTAACGTGTGATGTGATTTAGGAGCAATGCAAACACCACCGGTTCCCCATTCTTTCCCACCTGTCTTCACATATCCAGCAGGCGTGACTCCGGTCTCCACACTTCTGATTAGATCACAGTGTAAAATACGACGTCTTGAAACCTCAGGGTTGGTTTGGAGAGATAAAGTGTTTGTTTTGCAGGCACCAATACCTGAGTTCAATCCCCAGAACCCACGTAAAGAAGTGGGTGGGAGCTGGAGAAACGGCTCAGTGTGTAGGATGGTGGCTGCTCTAGCTTGAGGACCTGAGTTCTGATCTCAGAACCCCCTCTAAAAAGCTAGGCTTGACCTCCTTTGAGCCTGTAACCCTAGTACTGTAGAAGCTGGAAATGGGGGAACCACTGAACCTAGTGAAAGGGAGCTAGCTGGGGGAGGGGAAATCAAGTCTATGGTGTCAGTGTCAGAGCCCACAGGAAGGGTGGGGAGGAGGACAGATGAGGACAGGATCCGTGTGGAAGCAGGCTTGGTATCCTTCAAGGAGCCAAGACAGATGCCCTGATGGCAGCTTCTGGGAAGCTCCGGTGGTGGCCCATCATGGTTCCACGTCTAAGCTGGAGAACTCAGCAGCTGCCCAGCAGGCTCAACCCCAGCTTCTGGCCTCCATTTCTTCTGATTAACCAGCAGCATCCTGAAAGTTCTCTTTGCTTCCACAGAGATTGGGTCTCCTGAGGCCAGTACCTTTCTCAGTCTGCGCCTCTTCTTCCTAAGGCATAAAATCATTAAGACGGGTGGACGTTTTCAGCGAAGAGCCAAAGTTGTTCAGAATGAACGTCTAATAAAATCTGCATGGATTTTATTTTGACTGGCATGGAACCTTTCCTGTTTCCACCAGGCCAAACCTAAGGATACTTTGGAGCTGTGCCAGTTTTTAAACAATGACCTAGCTGCTACCATTGCCAGATACCCTCGAAGGTTTGTGGGTTTGGGCACGCTGCCTATGCAAGCCCCGGATCTGGCCGTCGAGGAGATGGAGCGTTGCGTGAGGGAGCTAGGATTTCCTGGAGTCCAGATTGGCTCCCACATCAACATGTGGGACTTGAACGACCCGGAACTCTTCCCTGTCTACACGGTGAGTACTGCCTGCCGCTTTTGCTCAGCCAACACGCAGCAGCACAGCCGTGGGCCGGCGGACACCAAGCTGGTGGAGGACCCTCCTGCCAGGGGAAAGGGACAGGACACAGGAGGCCAGCGACTTTAGATGTAGGTAGAAGATGTAGAAACCTACCAGAAATCCTACCAAAAGAGTGAGTCACTCTACAGCAGGAGAAGATGGGACACTTCCCATGTCTGCCCTTCCTGTACCACACTGGCACTCCTTTCCGTTGTCCATGGAAGCACGAATGTCACCCTCATTGCTAGTGCTTTACATGGTCAAACACAGACACACACACACTTTTTTTTGCTATAGAAAAAATAATTTTTTAAACAATTTGTGAATCATTATTAGTATATTAATATTAATATTTCAAAATAATTTTGAAGAGTCTGTGGAAATACAAAAATGTATAAAAAGGATGACAAACACACCAATCATTTCACCCAGACAATAACCACTGTTAGTTATCTCATTTAAAACTTTGCATATCTATATTTTAACAAAATTGTAATTCTTTTACACAAGGGATCTCATATCCTATTTGAAATTTTACAAACTAAATAAACATTATCTGTGTGCATGTGTATGTGCTAGCTCACACACATGTGTGAATATGGATACATGTTTATATTCATGTTTGCATGTGTGAGTGGACATACATGTGGTGCATATCATCGGGCATCTTCCTAGATGGCTCTCCACCTTACTGAAGCAGGGTCTCTTGCCATTTGCCTACTTCAACTAGTCTAGCCTGCTTACCCCAAGTATCCCTTGTCTCCACCTCCCTAGTGCTAGACTTGCAGGGGAGCCACCTGACTTTTCTGTGGATTTTGAGAATATAGACTCTAGTCCTCACACCAGCATGACAACATTTTTCCCATTGTATCATCCCCCAGCCCAGTGAGGATTATTTTAATGAATGGCTTTTTTAAAACTGCAGAATTTTCCAGTGTATTGGCATGTTCATATTTAATTCATCAATCCTCAATTAAGAATGTTAGGAAGAAGCCGGGCATGGTGGTTCATGTCTTTAATACCAGCTCTCAGACAAAGGCAGGCAGAACTCTGAGTTCGAGGCCAGCCTGGTTTTCAAAGCAAGTTCCAGGACAGCCAGCACTACACACACAAATTCTGTCTTGAAAAAGCAAGAACTAAAAACCAAAACCAAACAAAGAAACTTAAGAAACCAAAAGTGTATTTTGTCAGTACATTAAAAAATAATAATAATACTGAAACTGAGCATGGAGGTGCAGCCTGTAATCCCATCATTCAGGAGTCTCAGGCAGGAAGAGCAGGAATTTGAGGCTACCCTGTGCTACATAGTGAGCTTCAGGCAAGCCTGGGATACAGAACAAGATCCTGTCTCAAAACCCTCAAAATAAATATAGATAGATAAATGAAAAAGAAGGACATAAAGGGGGGATAAGGGGAAAACATAGATAGATATATCAATAAATGGGTGGATGATACATAGGTAAGTTATACATAGGTGATAGATAGATGATAGATACATATATAGGTAGATGGAGGTTTTACATATATAGATGAGTGCCGTGAAAATGTTAGCATTTGATAAAAGCAAATGGTGGGTACATGAGTGTTCATTGTGTTGTTTATAATCTCTATATTTAAAATATTAGAACATTAAGATGTGTTTTCAAAATGCTCCTATCTAGTTCTGAAGTACCCAGTTTCACATCCCACCATCCTGTCCAACACTCTTCCTCACCCACATCCTGAACCAGCCACCCTGGGTACCAGGACTTAAAGGGCCATGATTCATCACTCAATTGCATTTTTTAACGAGTCTCATTTCCTCTCATAACTATAAAGGTATGAGGTACTTCCACCATAATGCAAAAATCCTTAATCCTGATCTGAGTTGCTGTTTGCACGCTCACCAGCCATTCTACTGGCTGTCACTTATTCATTTAATATTTATGGAGCTCGAATTATGTGCAAAAAAATTTCCATGTTTGTGCTGAGGTGATTGTCCACTATGTGGGGAACTGCCTATGAAACTGCCTTTAAAGATTTAATATTCTTCTCAGTCCTGAACTCTCTGAACGAATTAGCAGCAGAGGCCCAGCTGATGCAGAGAATGTTTTCTGGAAATTTCAATGAGCTTTGAACAAGGATTTATTCACTCATGCATCCAAGTTGCCTCAGCACAGTGTGAGAGAGTCTTCAGCTGCAAGTCATTTTCAGCACTCATCGGAACTGGATTTATAAATTCCTGGGGGCTCAGAAAGCAATAGCAGCCACTGGGGTGCACACAGACATTTCCATTTGAGTGGCGAGCTCAAGCCATCTGTCACCCCCAATGAGCTTGTTTGGGAGCATGCCAGTTTCTGCGGGATTTAGGAGTCTGTCCTGACTCCAGTTGACCGGCAGTGTCCCTGGTCTGACCATCTATTTGTTTGGTTAGCGAGGCTGGCCTGCTTAGCTCCTCTCTAGCTTGCGTCAGTAACATGCTCAAACAAATGGGAAGAACTGACAGCCAAGTTAGTGCTGTCATTTCAAGGTAGTCCCTGCACTCTGTAGCATCCCAGTCCCCCTCCCCCCTTCCCAGAGACCGCTCTTCTACGTGAATAAACCTAGCAACACACACTCAGGTACAAAATGATTTCATTGCTGCTATGAGGCAGGCAGAATATTAGCACCTGACTGCCTGATTCTACCACTCATTGGACACCGTGACCTAAGTTACAAGAGTTCTCCCTTTTCGGTAAAACAAGGCAGGCATGAGTACATGTCTCTGAACAGGAATAGCACACAGAGTGCTTGTCTCATAAATGTTTAATGAGTTAGTAGTTGTAAAATTCGTGTGTGTGTGTGTGTGTGTGTGTGTGTGTAGGCCAGATGTTGACGTCCAATGTCTTCCTCAGTTGCTCTTCACTGTATTTCTAAATTTTATTTTATGTATTTGGGTGTTTTGCCTGCATGTATGTCTGTGTACCACATGTGTGCAGTATCCTCAAAGGCCAGACAAGGGCTTCAGATCTCCTGGGACTGGAGTTACAGACCACTGTGAGTCATCACAAGGGTGCTGGAAACCAAATGCTGGTCCTCTGGAAGAGAAGCCCCAGTGGCTGAGCTGTCTCACCAGCCCTTTCACCTTGTTTTTGAAGACAGAACATCTCACTGAACTTAGAGCTTGCTGACTCCACTAAACCGGTTGGCCGATGGGCACCAGAGATGCTCCTGTCTCTAGCCCCCAACACTGGAGTTACAAATACATGCTGCTATGCCCAGCTTTGACCTGGGTTCTGGGGATCTGAACTCTGGTCCTCATGCTTGCACAGCCAGCATCTTACTGCCTGAGCTGTGACTTCAGACTAATAGTTGTAAAATCTTATAGTAGCGTTGGTATTAAGCTCTCTGGGATATTAGTTGCCATCTTGAGAGAATGAGGTTTTGTGTTCTCTACTATGCTTCATTCTAGCTGTGGATCCTAACTCCTGACTCATTATTTTCCTGAATTACTTTATTTTATCTATCTGTCTATCTATCTATCTATCTATCTATCTATCTATCTATCTGATATGGGGATCTTTCTGTGTACTCCTCGTTGACCTGGAATTCCGGAACTATGTAGCTCAGGCCGGCTTTGAACTGGCACTGATAGGTGTATGCGACCATGCTTGGCTCATGTTTCCTCACTTTCTGTAGCTCCAGCTTTCTAAGGGAAGAGAAGGAGGGAGCCCTCCTGCCCTGATTCCAAGGATACCATCCTAGTCATCCTGAAAGGGTGAACTGTGCAGGCACCAGTGGTGGGGGGGGGGGCGGGAATCCCCTGCATTTGAAGTATGGAATTAGACCTTATGCATTGCTCTTTATCAAAATATTTGAGTGGGGGCTTGAGAGATTTTCAGTCAATAAAGTGGGAATACAAGACCTTGGGAATACAAGACCTTGAATTCAGTCTCCAAAATCCGTGTGAAAAAGCTGGGCATGTTGGTATGAGCTCATAAACCCATAACTGGGGAAACAGAGACAGCTGGATGCCTGGTGCTCACTGGCCACTCAACTTAGACAAATCAGTGAATTTTAGGCTAGTGAGAGACCCTGTCTCATACAAAAACACACCATTGAGTGGTGGATGTTTTCTGTAATTTCTTTTACCAAGCAATATGATAAATTCATCAACCTATGGTTAATTCTGAGAGTTCTTTTTATTTTTCCAAGTAGTAATAATTGATCAAGGAACTCTTTTATCTAGATCAAGAAGGAACTTCAAAAGTATTTGAGCTTATTTACTCAGATCAATATAGAATCAGATATAAAAAGGTGACGTCCCCAAATAACCTGTGTCTTACTGCTCTGTTGAAGGCGGCCGAAAGGCTGAACTGTTCTCTGTTCGTGCATCCCTGGGATATGCAGATGGATGGACGAATGGCCAAATACTGGCTGCCTTGGCTCGTAGGTTTGTGCTGGACTGGGGTTGGGAATACAGCACCAACTCTTGGGTTTTTCCAGTTATTCTTGGAACTCTGAAGAAAGTGGGATTAGGTTGAAAGTAATAGCAACTACCCATAGTTGGGTTTTTACTCAGATAAATACAACTTAACAGATCTACCTGACTACATTGTCTCCTGTTAACTGTGTATCCTAGCTAGCAACCAATCACTTCAAGACTCAGTTTCTCCAACTCTGTCAGTTCCTTGGGGGCTAAAGCATCAGACATGAGCCAAATGCTGCTTCTAGCAGTGGGGAGCTCTTGAAGAAATTCACATCAACCCAAAAACTTTGCCAGCCTTAGCTCCAAGAGGCAGCAGAGACTTGGCAGGATTAGCAGTAACCATTAACATTTAGTGAGTTGTTAACTAAGTACCAGATACTATCGCGGAACCCTAAAAATAAGACATTGCCAGGAACTAGCCATCACTGTTGTATAAACTGAAGTCATGTTGGCTCCAAGGAATGTTTGAGAGGAAGGTTTTTATTGTAGATATAAGGGAGATCACCAACAGAAGCTTCTGGAAGAGTCCATAACAGAGAAAGTAGCAGACTGAACGTGGCAAGCAGACTGGATTTAGCCGTTAGAGGAGAGAGGAGATGAGAGAGATTAACAAAGATAGGGGCAAGAGATGCAGAAAAAGAGAGAGCCAAGAGAGGGCAAGAGTTTGCATAGCAGAATAGCAGAGCCCATAAGAATGAAAAGAATCCCCGCACTCAGGAGGCAGAGGCAGGCTGATCTTTGTGAGTTCAAGGCCACCCTGATCTACAGAAGGAATTCCAGGACATCCAGGACTGTTACACAGAGAAATCCTGTCTAGAAAAAAGAAAGAAAGAAAGAAAGAAAGAAAGAAAGAAAGAAAGAAAGAAAGAAAGAAAGAAAGAAAGGGACGGAGGGAGAGAGAAGAGGAGGGGAAGGGAGGGGAGGGGAGGGGAGGGGAGGGAAGGGAAGGGAAGGGAAGGGAAGGGAAGGGAAGGGAAGGGAAGGGAAGAGAAGAGAAGAGAAGAGAAGAGAAGAGAAGAGAAGAGAAGAGAAGAGAAGCTAGGGGAGGAAAGTTTCTCCTGGAGGAGGTGCTGGCTAAGAGGAAGTGAGAAAAAACAGGACACCATCATGGACTCTGAAATGTGTAATAGGTACTTGTTGTGTTACCGAGGGAGCCTGAAGGCTGGCATGCACTTTGGTATGCTAATAGGCACCACAGGCAGCCATCTGTCCCTTCTGATAATGAAATGGCTCCTTTGGTAGAAGGGAACCAGCTCACAAGTTCCCGAGGAAAGCTGGCTTTTGTCTAACTGGCAGAATGAGGAAACAGACAAGAGAACTGACCAGTGTTTGCTAAACACCTCCAATGTGAAGTCATAACCAGGGATTTTATTGACGTTGTTATTTACAAAATTCCACAAAAACCCTAAAAGACAAGAAGAAGAACATCCTCCATGAAGAAACACAGCTAGAACATCAAATAACTGCTCCCAGGCCAAGAGGCAGAACACTACAAAAGCTATCATTCTGCCCAGAAGACTAACACCATGCATCTAAAACTGAAAGGAGAGGGGCTGGGAACTCAGCTCAGTGGTAGAGCACTTGTCTATCAAGCTCAAGGATGTGGGTTTGCTCCTCAGCCCTGAGAAGAAACCTGAAGGGCAATCGGTGTTACTGGCAGTCAGGGCCAGGCCAGGGGTTTCCAGCTTCTCGCCCCTTACCCAAAAAGCTGAAAATAAAGACTCACACAGATTTTCAGGGTAACTTTATTCGGGGTGGACAGATAGTACAGATGGTAGGAGATACATTGTCAAGACTGACAGTCTGGGTCTCTGTTTTGTTTGTTAGATTGGGTCACGTGTTTTGGTTTTGGTTTTTTGGTTTTTCAGGGTAAGTGAAGGTGCAGTTAAACCACTGAACTGGACTGATCCAGGGTGCATGGAAAGAAAAGGGTTAGTGTAAACATAAAGCTGCCATGGGTCTCTCTAGGGTGGTTGAGAGAATAGCAGGAGGCATTCGGGGAGTCCGGAGCTGCAGTGGCTCTCTCTCAGAAGGCAGAGAGGAGCAGAGAGAAAGGCCAGGGGTGGGGTGGGAGAGTGGTGGGCTTGAAAGGGAGCAGGTGGCTGCAGAGTCGGGGGAAGAAGAACTTGTAAACTGGAGTGGTCTGAGGGTTTAGATCCAGAAGAGCCCGATGGTTTTGAAACTCGCCATAGCTACACGTTAGTGGGGAATGAAGGAGTCTGAAGGCTGGTGTAGGCTTTGGTATGTGACTAAATGCCTGTTTCCTGAGGTACAAAGAGAGAAGGGAAGTGGCTCCTCTTGGCAAAGAGAAACTCGGTTTCTGAGCAGTGCTGCTTGTGAGCTTGTATCTGTCTGCCAGTAATCCTGTGTCCAGCCAGAACTGAGCCCAGACTCACCTTGAAACGTAGTCAGTGGCTGCCTTTTGGGGTTTGGGACCTAACACTTACTATGAGTGCCACTTCCCATAATGCATTTCATTTTAATTATATACCTGCCCAGTTATGCATAAGCGTAAGGTGATAATAGGGGACTCTCTCTAATAGGCTACTGGAAGAAACAGTTTTGCCTTACTGTATATGTGCCCCAAACCCATTCAGGCCAGATAGGTCCTTTTCGTCTTCCTAGCTGGATATATTGGGAATACACTTGAGCAGAAGTGAACGAAATTTGATGGTTACCGCAGCTGGGGAAACCTAACAACATCACTCAGAGATGAGAGTGAGTGTAATCTGGTGCATGTTGGGGGCCTAGGAGTTCTGAGGTCACTCGGTTCACTGTTTGAAGAGGTGTGCACGTATGTTTGCACAGTGTGTGCAAGCGAAGGGATTGGGCTGCCGAGGGCGTTATTACAAGGGGAGGCGTGTACAACCCCAAACTAAACAGGAATCCCAAGCTAAACTACCTCCAATGCTTGCCTGCCCCATCAGGACCAAAACCAGGCCCCTTGCCAGTTCCATCTCTTGGACTACTCTCCTTGAAATAGCAAATGGGGGCCGTCAATGATTCTTCTTGACTAAGTAACGCCCTGTCTACATTCGGATCATTTCTGAGCACAGGGGCCCCATGTTTCAGCTCACTGACAATCCCCCAGTCTAGCTGTTGCTCTGCAGCCACTGTCACTAAGCTTCTCGCTGAAGTTAACCAGCCCTGAATCATGTAACCCGTTTCCTCTTCTAGGAATGCCGTCGGAGACCACCGTGGCCATTTGTTCCATGATCATGGGTGGGGTGTTTGAGAAGTTCCCCAAACTCAAAGTGTGCTTTGCACATGGAGGTGAGACCCTATTTGTATCAGCTCAGACTGGCCTAAGAAAATGCCACCGACAGAGTGACTTAGAGCAACATTTTCTCACGGTTCTGGAGGCTAAACGTCTGAGACTATAGTGCTGACAGGGTTGGTTTCTGATGAGGGCTTTCCTCCTAGCACATAGATGGCCTCCTTCTCCCTGTATTCTCATGCGCGCCTTCCTCTGTGCATTCATGGGTGAGGAGAGGACAAAGGACAGTACTTGAAGGAGAGAGATGGTTCTGGTCTCTTCTTTTGTGTGGATATTTAGCATGTTTATTTGTGGATGCATGTGTATGTGGATGCATGTGTATGTGGATGCATGTGTATGTGGGTGCATGTGTATGTGTATGCATGTGTGTGTGGGTGCATGTGTATATGGATGCATGTGTGTGGATGCATGTGTGTGGGTGCATGTGTGTGTGGATGCATGTGTGTGTGGATGCATGTGTGTGTGGATGCATGTGTGAGGGGTGCATGTGTGTATGGATGCATTGTGTGGGGGTGCATGTGTATGTGGATGCATGTGTATGTGGATGCATGTGGAGGACAAGGACAAGGAGGCCAATATTGGGTATCGGTCCTCTGGTGCCACCTACCTTTTTATTCCTTTTTTTTTTTTTTTAAAGACAGGGTCCTTCACTAAACCTGGAGCTCACCAATCTGGCTAAACTGATTGGCTAGAAAGCCCAGGGATCCTTCTATCTCCACTTCCCCAGAACTGGGATTATAGGTGGGTGTCTGACTTTTTATATATATATATGTTTGGCATTCAAAGTCAGGTCCTCACACTGTCACTGCGTGGTGGTTCACTTTACCAAGTGAATTGTTTCCCCATCCATTTTTCATTTATTTATTTGTTTTTCATTACTTATTTATTTGTAGTGGTTCTGAGTACTGACTCTAGCTCCTCACACATGCTAGGCATGCTGTATGTCAAGCTACATCCAAGCTTTATTGTTATTGTTATGTTATTAGTGCTGTGTGTGTGTGTGTGTGTGTGTGTGTGTGTGGTGTATGTCATGTGTGTGCAGACCAGAAGAGGGTGTCAGAGCCACTGGCACTAGTTCCAGGTAGTTGTGAGCCACCCTTCATGGGTGCTGGGTGCTGTAGGTCTTCTGTAAGAGCAACAAGAACCTCCTGAGATGTTTCTCCAGCTACTTACATTTATTTTGAGATGATCTCTCACTAACGTTTCCCAGGTTGGCCTTAAACTTACTCTGTAGCCCAAGCAATTATTAGTCTTTGGACTTGAAATCCCATCCCCCCCTGCCTCTGCCTCCTTGCAGGTGGTGCTTTCCCCTTCACAGTGGGAAGAATCGCCCACGGATTCAACATGCGCCCAGATCTCTGTGCCCAGGACAATTCATCTGACCCCAGGAAATACCTTGGCTCCTTCTACACAGACTCCCTGGTTCACGATCCTCGCTCTCTCCAGCTGTTGACAGATGTCATAGGAAAGGCAAGTTGGGGTCCCTTTTGGATGGTTTGTGGATATCAGAAGTCTGGACCAGCAGTCTTCTACTTAACAAGTTAGACACTCTTGAAGAAAAAGGAAAGTTTGAGTTAGTAAAATATCTGAAATGTGTACTGTTGTTTCTTGGTATCCAAAGGGAATTGATTCCAGGACTCCAAAAGATAGAAGCCCCTCAGATGCCCAATTGTTTTATATGAAGTGGCATAGGTTTTGTATATAACTTTTACACACCCTCCTAAATGCATCATTTATAATCATAATACAAGGTAGGTGGTATCTACTTGGTGTTTGTTATATTGCTTGGGAGATAATTAAAGGGAAACATCTTCTACATGTTAAAAACAAAAGCTATTTTCCAAAGTATGTTCTTCATATTGAGTCATCATGATATATTCATAAATGCATATAATGTACTTTGGTCATGTTTACTCCCATTATCCCCTCTCTCTACTGTTTAGTTTTTAGTTTGTTTTCCATTGCTGTGAGTGACACCATAACCAAAGGCAACTTGGTGAGGAGAAAGTTTACTTGGCTTACAGATCATAGTCCATTATAAACTAGAACGGAAGCTCAGTGCAGGGACCTGGAGGCAGGAACTGAAGCAGAAACCAAGGAGGAACGCCGCTTACTGGTTTGTGCCCCGCTGCCCCAGCTAGCTCAGTACCTTTCTCATACAATACAAACTCACCTGCCCAGGTACGGCAGCACCCACAGGGGCTGGGCCCTCTCACATCAACTCACAATCAGGAAAACACCACACAAGATGCCTACAGGCCTATCTGAGGTGGGCACCACATCAATTGAGATGTCCTAGGTATGCCAAATTTGCCTTTACAAAGATTCTAGAAATCCAGACTCAGTGATCTGATATCGCTGAAAAGGTTCTTCATCATCAAAGGAAGATATTATTTCCAAGGCTATGGCAGACAGTAGAGTATGGCATGCTTATAGAAATATTTCTAAAATGACTTGAGACAAAAGGGTTTCCTGCCAGATTCTCAACTAACTTGACATTTCCATCTATCTTAACACTTCCCTCTCCAAATAACTTTAAATAACGTCTCCCAGTGCACTGCAGTACAAAAGAGGGAAACCCTGTTTTGATGCCTGTGAGCCTCCTGAGAGGCTTCTAACCTTCTTCCGTCAAGTTGTGGACAAGGAGAGGAAGTCCTCGTTCCAGCACACGTTGGCTGGGTGACTGTTCTAGTTTTATTTCTGTTGCTGTGATAAAAATACTCTGGCAGAGAGCAGCATAGGAGACAATGGGGTTTCTCTCAGCTTACAATTCCAGGTTACAAGCCATCGTTGTGGAGAAGTCAAGGCGGGAGCTGGAAGCGGCTGATCGCGTCCCGTCCACGGTGGAGAGCAGGGAGACATGATATGTACAGACTCACGGACTTGCTTGTTTGTGCTCAGCTTAATTCCTCCACTCTAAACAGATCGGTACCCCTACCTCACACTTTCTGTCTCGTGCTCACTGCCAAGTGCCTCAGCTACACATCTGGGCTAGCACAGCTGGCTCTCACCGGATCCTTCAAGGGGTCTTTCTAAAACACAGTAGATGTGAAACGGCACGTTAGCACATCCAGACATGTACCTTTAGAAACTGCTTCAGAATCCCAGTAGATCCCCAGGAAATAGACTCTTCAAAGTTCAATTGGGGGGGGCGAGGGCTGGGAGCAGATGGGATGAGAACCTGGCATACCATTAGCAGACAGCAGAGCTCTTGGAATAGTGCTGTCCACGGTCAGAGTGGGTCTTCTCACATCAATTAATCTGACCTAGAAACTCCCTCACAGACAGGCCCAGAGGTTTGTCATCTCTAGGTGATTCTAGATGCTGTCAAACTGATGAGCAATATTAACTTCTATCGTGACAAGAAGTTAATAATTTTTAAATTATTTTTAAATAACTCTTCAAAGTATTTTTACTCCAATATTTATTAAGCATCTATCAAGTAGAGACGTTATCAAGTGATGGGGTGCGTGTTCTTTTTCCTGAAAACCCACACACATCTCGAGGATCCTCATTCTTTTACTTTCCTCCCTGCTGCCATCCCCTTTCCCTCAAAACAAGAACTCCAAATTAACAAGGCTTTCATTTCTAGTTCTTTCCTTTACCCAATATTTCAGGACTAAGTACATCATGATTCCTTCTTTCATATATTCAAACATTTTTTAAAAGACATTGGGTTTTTTGCTATATATGCATATATATGTATGAGGATATGGTTATGTGCAGGTGAGTGCAGTGTCTACAGTGGCTAGAAGAAGTCAGATCCCAGTGAGCTGGAGTTACAGGCCATTGGGAGCAGCCTGAAATGGGTGCTGGGAACTGAACTACGGACCAGCTCAGCTGGGCACTGGGACCAATGGGACAGGGTCTCAGGAATAGTTGGGTAAGGAGTCGGCGAATGACAGACAGACACAAGACTCAAAGGAATTGCATCTGAATGCGCCTTTGCTAGGCATGAGGCTCACCCTTTATACAGAAAAGATTGTTTAACAGCATGTAGTGTTTTTTCTTGTGATACAGATTTTTCTTAGAATCATTATACAAGATACATGAGAATAGATTTTCATCAGACAGATGTCCCTGGTGTGAGTCTGCGGTTGGTCATGCTAGACATGGCTTGGCATTAGTTTCAATATAAATCTTTATCTAGGCTATGAGTTTATGGCATTTTGAGTTAAGGGCAAGCGGTTGTGGTTAACAACCACACAGTCTACAGTTCTTTTATATTTCTGTAATTTATGCAAAAGAATTTTTTTTCCTTTTTCTTCGTCATATTTCTAACTCCTTTTTAAACCTTTCCCAAAACCAATCTCCAGAAGTTATAGGCATTTATCTCTTATAGTAAGGAGGCTGCCTGTTGGTTCCCAGTCACTCAGCCCCGAAATAAACACACAGAAACTACATTATTTAAAAAACTGCTTGGCCTATTAGCTCTAACTTCTTATCAGCTATCTCTTACATTTTAATTTAACCCATTCCCAGTAATCTGTGCATCACCATGAGGTCGTGGGCTACCAGCAAAATTTCAGTATGTCTATCTTCAACAGTGGCTCCATGGCTTCTCTCTGACTCACCTCCTTTCTCCCAGCATTCAGCCTAGTCCTCCCTGCCCAGCTCTTAGTGCCCTGCTCTGCTATAGGCTCAAAGCAGTCCTTTATTAACCAATGGTATTCACAGCATGCAGAGGGAAATCCCACATCAATCTCTTCTATCCTTATACCATTTTTGCTGAATATGTTTTAATTGCTTAATTAGGTTTGCCTTTTGTTCTTTATTTGATAAGCACCAGATTAAACTTGGAAACCTTTTTCCTTTGAATGTTAACCCATCTTCCTCCATTAGCATCATATACTCCTATATATGGCAATGGCTCATCAGTAGACTCTGGAAACTTAAACATACTATCTTCCCTTCCAGAAGAAACCAGACTGTGTTCCTTAGAACATGAGCAGGTAATGCCAAAAGTGCAAGGGCTCCAATGCAGGAAGCACAGCACACCACACACACACACACACACACACACACACACACACACCTTCTCTAAAGGCACTCTTCCTTGAAGCTTGTGCCACGTCTTACATGAGCGATCACGCAGACCCCACAGGAGGTGGCGTGACACCCATTCAAGACATTGTTCCTTCAACTCACTCACACATTTACTAACGTAATTTTCAAGTTGATTATAAGCATTGTGTCAATGTTATATCCCAACTATCTCAAAAGTCCAATTCAAAGAATTATTATTGGCAGAGTCAGCTCATAGGAAAAATAATGGCTAAATAATTATTATTAACTGGATTTATTTCAAAATGGAAGAATCTAAGGATGATGGATTTAAAAATTTAAAAATCTAAGGAATTAAGGATGATAGCCCAGATTTAGACCAGTTTCAAAACCAATAAAATTATAAAATTACTATCTAACTGAAGATGATCAAAAGTTACTGTGTTGGATGAATAAGAATGGTCTCCAATGGTTCATGGTTCACATATTTGAATACTTAGTCACCAGGGAGCAGAAATGTTTGAAAGAATTAGAAGGCTTAGGAGGTGTGGCTCTGTTGGAGGAAGTGTGTCACAGTGGTGGACTTGAGGTTTCAAAAGTCATGCCAGGTCCTCTCTCTCTCTCTCTCTCTCTCTCTCTCTTTCTCTCTCTCTCTCCCTATGAATCAGTATGTACCTCTCAGTTACTGCCCCAGTGCCATGCCTGTTGATTCGCACCATGATGATAATGGACTAAGCCTCTGAAACTGTAAGCAAGCTCTCAATTAAATGCTTTCTTTTTTTTTAAAGATTTATTTATTTATTTATTTATTTATTCATTTATTTATTTATTATGTATGCAATGGTCTGCCTGCAGACAGAAGTTGGCACCAGATCTTATTAGCAGTGGTTGTGAGCCACATACGGTTGCTGGGAATTGAACTCAGGACCTCTGGAAGAGCAGTCAATGCTCTTAACCACTGAGCCATCTCTCCAGCCCCTTAAATGCTTTCTTTTACAAGGGTTGGTTATGGTGTCTCTTCACAGCAATAGAACAGTGACTGAGACAGTTACCAATAGAAGGCATGCATATAGATAATAGGTAAGAAAAGTTTAAAACTCAGATAATAGTTACAAGTGGATATATAACCTTCTAAAGAAAGAAGTCGAGAGAAAGTCTAAATAATAATTTAAAATTTCCAAACCATGAGTTTGTTAGTCCATGGTAGCATTCAAAAATAAATAAATTCAAGGGATTCGGGAGATGAGATGACTCAATGGGTAAAGTACTAGCAGTGCATGCTTGGGCACCTGAATTTGATCCCCAGAACCCATATAAGAGCTGGATATATAGCATGAGCCGGTTTACTCCCAATGCCCTGAGAAGCTCAAGGGCCAGCCAGCCTGGTATATGCAGCAGAAAAACAACAGAAAGACCCTGCTTGAAACAAGATGGAAGGCAAGGATTGACGCCTGACACTATCTTCTGAACGAACACACACACACACACACACACACACACACACATACACACACACACACACACACACTTAAGAAGGAAACCAAGGAAATATTGAAGTCAGAAGGGTTGGATGGCAAAAGACCTGAAGACAGCTTTTCACTGTGTTGGACTCATTTGCCTTCTCCATATTAAAACAGGACAGACTGTTTCCTAAAGCATATTTATATCTGAGAATGCCATCATGCTGGGAAGGGAAGAATTCTTAATTAGAAAATTAATGCCTGGATTTCATCTTCATGTTAATGTAGCTGATGAGGGTAGTATAAGCGTGGGACTCTAAAATCATGTTGTATTTTGGAAATGTAAACAGCTTTAGCAAGAAGAGGAGATGAACCCCTGGTGAATACCAAGCAGAGAGTTAGAACAAGATCAGCTGCTGGTACAGATGTGAGGAGACATAACTTTGCGTCTTTAGGGCCTCTACAGCAGGTGTATTTACTTGACATCATATACAAATGAATACAGAAATCTATAAATAGACTTGGTAGTCTATCGTGGACTTTGAAACTGTGGTGTGTGTGTGTGTGTGTGTGTGTGTGTGTGTGTGTGTGTGTGTGTGTTGGACATCATATGTTCTATTCTATCACTCTGCTTTATTCTCTTAAGACAAGATTTCTCACTGAATCTGGAGCTAGGCCAACACTACCCCTGTCTCTGCCTCCCACAGCACCAGGATTATGGGCAAATAAATGCACAGACATATTCAGTTGAGGTGCTGAGATTTGAACTCAGTTCCTCATGATTAAGCAACAAGCACTCTCTGAATTATCTCCCTAGACACCAATTATACATACATACACGTACATATACACAACACAAGGTCCCACTCTGTAGACTAGACAGGCCTCTCCAGTGCTAGGATTAAAGACATGTTCCACCAATGCCCAGGTAAAATTTCTAGATTTTAAATGACCATTTCCTCCAGTGTATACTATCAACTGAAGTATTTTTTAAGTTTAAAGTTATTTTGGACACATATGGTATCATGTGATTTTGATATATGTGTAAATGGCGTAATGTTTCTGTGAGGCTAAACATGTCTACTCAAGCATTCTCTATGGTGAACACCACAAGTCATTTCTCCTGGCTTTTTGAGATATACAGTACATTATTATTATTATTATGGATGATCATTCCACTATGGAGCATGCCAGATCTCCTGGGGTTCTTTAGTTGGTGCGTTGGTTGTTGCATCTGGAGGTAGGATCCTACTTTGTAGGTTAGCTGGAGCTTACTAATAGGACCCAGGCTGACTTCGAACCCCGGTCTGCCTGCCTCTTAAAGCAGAGATTACAGGCATGCACCACCCCAGCTGGCACACATCAGAACTTCTTGTCCCTATTCCACAAGTCAGCTTCCCCGCCTCTCTCGTTCCTGTTCTTACAGTCTCTAGTGACTAACGCTCTACTCTCCACCTCTATGAGCGCAAGTATTTTATAGACGACATCTGAGACTGCTGGCATTTACTGCTCAGTGATAAGCCTGTTTCACCTAACATGATGACTTCTGGTTCCATGACACTGAGAAAACAAAAACATTCCATTCTTCCTTGAAATGAAAATATGTGTTCTCTCTCTCTCTCTCTCTCTCTCTCTCTCTCTCTCTCTCTCTCTCTCGATGAAGAAAGGATGTCCTTTCTTCAACGTGGGAACACTGCCTGATTTTGTTCAAGTTCAAGGACTGCAGTTTACTTCTAGTCTTCCTAGTCTGTTCTGTTTGCCTGGGTTCTTGTTTGTATGAAAACAAGCGTGTTGTTTGGGTGACTACGCCTTTGCAGTACACTTTAAAATCAATGTGGTCACTCCTGTTTTGTCTTTTTGGTTCAAGACTATTTAGGATCTTTTGTGGTTCCATAGAAATTATAAGATTGTTTTTCTATTTCCATTAAAAAAAGTCATTGCTATCCGGTGTGGTGGTGCACACACCTTTAATCTCAGCACTCGGGAGGCAGAGACAGGTGGATCTCTGTGAGTTCGAGGCCAACCTGGCCTACAAAGAGAGTTCTAGGACATCCAGGACTGTTACACAGGAAAAAAAACCCTGTCTCAAAAACAAACAAAATGTCATTGGTCTTTTGAGAGGGGTTGGACTAAATCTGAATTGATTTGGGTAGTGTGGCTACTTTAACAATATGAATTCTTCTAGCCCATTATCAAAGTGTATCTTTCCATTTATTGTGGCTTTGATTTATTTCATCATATAGTTTTCATTACAGAGGTCTTTCACCTCCTTGTTTAAACGTACTCCCTGGTTAGTATTTTGTTCTAACTAGTATAAGTGGGCTCAGACAGTTTTGCTGCTGTTATGTAGACATACACTGATTTCTTCAAATTGATAGTGTACCCTGAAACTTAATTGAATTCTTTAACTAATTCTAAAGAGCTGTGGAACTTGTAGGGCTTCCTATATATATGATCATATCTGCAAAGAGAAACAGTTTTACTTCCTCTTGTCCAGACTGAACTGCCCCTTCCTCCTTCTTCCTGCCTAGGTGCTATGGATTAGAACTTCTAGGTTCTACCTATAGATGAAAGTGCACAATCTGTGTCTTGTTCCATATCTTTCTTGTTTTGTTTTGTTTTTAAAGACAGGGTTTCTCTGTGTAGCTCTGGTTGTCCTGAAACTTGCTCTGTAGACCAGGCTGGCCTCAAACTCACAGAGATCTTCCTGTCTCTGCCTCTCGAGCTAGAATTAAAGGTGTGCACTGCCTGCCATATCTTAAATAAAAAACTTCATTTTTTTTCTCATTCAATACAGTTTGAGCTGTGGGTTTGTCACATATGGCCTTCACCTTATTGAGGGAACTTTCGTTTAGAGTATTAACATGGATAGTTGGGGAGATGATTCAGCAGCAAGAGCACTTTCTGTGCACTTATGAAGACCTGAGTTCAAATCCTAAGTACAAATGCAAAAAGCTAGGGCTGTAGAAGACAGATACAGGAAGATGCCCTCGCTCCATAGTGCATTCCTGGTTTGGGAAAGTACATTGTAGTTATAGAAGAAGCATCTTCTTAGCTAGACGCTGGCACATGTCTTTAATCACAGCCCTCTGAAGGCAAAGGCGGTCTGATCTCTGTCATTTTCTAGGCTAGCCCTGGGCTACAAAGCAAGTTACTTGTTAAACAGGCTACCTGCTGAAACCCTTTCAAAAAACAGGAGGAGAAAGAAGGAAGTTAAGATGGTCCCCTACGTAAAGGAACTTGTTTGCCAAGCCTGACAACCTGGGTTTGATCAGAACCCACAGGGTCGAAGGAAAGGACTAACTTCTACAATCTGTACTCTGCTTTCCACATGTCACCCCCTACACACACACACACACACACACACACACACACACACACCACAAATAAATAAATGTTATAAAAGAAGAAGAAAAAAGGAAAAAAGTCCTATTTTTAGAAAATAAATGCTAATTTATTTAGTAATAAAGGGCCATGATGTCTCCAAAATCACCAAGGTTTCACTCATATATGTGTTTGTGTTGTGTGTGTGTGTGTGTATGTAGGTATGTATATGCAGACAATACATAAATATAATTGAATCTAATAAAGCAAGGTGTCAAAAATATAAACAGCTGAACTTGGGTGACGGTTATATGGCAGATACTTTCATTTCCTGGCAACTCTTCCATAGCTTTAAAACTCTATCAAATTAAAAATTAAACACCAGATCAATGAATTAGTGGATAATAAAGTGGAGTTCAGTGGGGCTGGCGAGTTATCTCAGTGGTTGGGGACACCATCTTCTGGTCTCTCCACCAACACTTTCGCACATGTAGCACTCCCCACACACACACACTCACACAAATCAGAGTTCAAGATGAACAGGGCATTTGCAATCAGGGAATCAACCACCCTTTAAAGTCAGCGAACTCTAAACAGCTTGCTGTGGCTGAGGGGCTGTGGCTCATTTAGAGAGCTCTGGCAGAAAGGATGCCACACTTCATTTGGGAAAACTCAAGAAATTAACAAAGGAATTATTTACAAAGCTGTGAAGAGTTAGACCACCATTTAGCCCAAAGCTTTGCTTTCCAGCTCTGTTTTCTTGCAGGGTCACTTGTGATGCACCACTGTAAGAAAGGAGGAAAAGTTCATTCTATCTGAATATATCCATATGTCTTATCAAGCAAATGCTCATTTCTTACATTCCAGTATTCTGCATTTCAATTATTAAGAAGATAATCTGGCTGAGGTATAGAATGGTTTGTTCAATTAAGTGCTCATCATACAAGCATTCTGACTGGGGTCTGATTCTGAGCGTCCATACCGAAAAGATGCCAGTGTGATGTTACACGCCTGTATTCCAAGCACTCGGAAGGTGGCGACAGTGGTCCTAGGGATCACAGGCTAGCCAGATGAGCATATTTAATGGATTCCAGGCCAGCGAGAGACCCTGTTTCAGAAACCAAGGCGGACAGCACAGGAAGAATGAGACAAGGAAAAATTGTGTTCTGGCCTCCACACTGCGCGTGCAGACTCAGAAGCAAGACTGGAAGTAGATTTGCAATCAATCCTTAGAAGACCTAATACTGACACCTGCTGGAAAAAAATAGCAAAATGAAAACTGAGCTGTTAATCTTTAAAATTTAGCGGTTCTGTTTCTATTGAACCAGGAAGGAGTTTGCTGTCTTACCAGACTGCTGTACGCGATGAGCAGCAGATTGAGAGAACAGAGGGCTCCTTGGTGTTCTCACATTTACAAATAAACTTGTGTTTGCTCCTTTTAGGACAAAGTCATTCTTGGAACTGATTACCCATTTCCACTAGGTGAGCAGGAGCCTGGGAAATTGATAGAGTCCATGGGAGAATTTGACGAGGAAACAAAGGTATGTGCCTTGAACCTCCGTCTCCTTCCTGAGCTGAACAGAGAGACCACTATACTTCATTTGCCGACAGTTCTGACTCTGTCTTCTGAAACAGCTACTCTATCAAAAACAAGTCTTAACAGCTTTCCAATTTTAGTGTATGTGCTGCTGAAGCAAGTGCAAAGGTCTTAATATCTTAAAATAAGTCCAGTATAACTAAATGCATAAATCTTCTGTGCATGCATGCATGTGTGTGTGTGCGTGCACACACACACACATGCGTTTTTTAAAAAGTAATCAAGGGCTCCATCTAATAAGTGCTTTTATCAAGCCAATCGTGCTTTAATAATAAAACATCTCTCCCTTTCTTTTTTATTCAGGATAAACTCACAGCTGGCAATGCCTTGACTTTTTTGGGTCTTGAGAGAAAACTATTTGAATGTCAAAATTAGCCAAAAAAAAAAAAACCTTCCAAGAAGCTATATCATTCTGTCTCTGAACATGAATCGCACACATCGCTAGAATTCTATTTTGAATTATGTTACCCCAAAATGGAATATCCTCCTCAGAACAATGCAGAAGGACCAGGAATCCAAGCTCCAGGCCAGTCTGCGCTACTTGAGACTGTCTTTTATAAAGGGGGGTGGTGGTGGTGGAAGGGGGATATTATTCCCAAATACTCTAACTTATTAAAAACAAGATGTTTCATAAGGTTTCTATTCTGAAATGTAATGTACTGAAAAGCAGTACATTGCTACATATGCAAACCAAAACTATTTAATTTGGAGATTAAGAATTAATGTACAATTGATGATGTACATAGAAAAAGATCCAACACCAGCCTTATTCTAGAAGGCTCAGGTGGGTTCTTTACTTTGACCAAAAAAAATGGGAATTGTGCACAAATAATCTGTTTTTTTCTCCTGTTGTAACCCTCTCTGATAGTCTAGTCATTCACTGGGAATGGTTTTGTCTGTATAAAGTACACACAGGCTATGCACAAACTCAAATGTTTCAAAAGCCAGCTAAGAAAGCAAGGCAAATGCTCATGGAATAATTGCTGAGTGATCCAACACAAAGCTCAAAAATACTTCAGTAAAATGTGTTGCAGTCTCCCAGAATCTGGCAGATCTTAGAAGTCGGGCTGAGTACAGGAGGATGGACGGACACCTCTTTAAAAACAGGAAGATGCTGGGCTGGACATGGTGATGTGTGCCTCTAATGTCAGCACTCAGGAGGCAGAGGCAGGCTATGGATTTCTACTTGAGGCTAACTTGGTCTTCATAGCAAGCTCCAGACTAGTTGTCCAAGGATACATAGTGAGTCTCTGTCCCAAAGTAATAAATAAGCAAACAGAAGAGGGAAGATAGAAGAAAAAGCTACGGGGACAGAGGCGTGGTTTCAGAGAGAATGAAACTTGTTCTTAAGGGAATTTCATCTGTAAGTTTATTTTTTCAGAGCAGGAGGTAGAAAGAGCTCTGGGGACTGAGTGGGTAACACCATGACACCTTGCTCCAGGCCCTACCGTTCCACCCAAGTCACTGCAAAGGAACTTGAACCTGGGACAGGGTAGCAGACGGCATCTCTCCTTCACAGCAAATAATTTCTCCATGCCACACCCTTAACTTGGGACTCGTACTTCCTTTTCTTCCCACACAAAACCAGGATCACTATTAATGTGTTCCTTGTGGTGACTCTTCGACAGAGAAAGAGGAGATCTAGTTAATACTTGCTGACTCCTGTTCTGTCACCATCTGTGCTTCAGCGCCCCTCTCCTTCCTGTTCCTCTTGTTTTCTAGAGTTTTCCCCAGCTATCATTCTACTTACTACTCCTTGAAAGAAAAAAAATAAAATTGAACAAAAAACAATTGAAAGCATATGTTACTGCTTTTCTCCTTCCCAAAAAATCTTTAGAAGAAATTTCTACTCCTTTTCAAATATTTCTGAGTACTACACACATAATATTTTTATTAGTTACTTTTGCCTCACTATGACCAAAAAGAGCACACACACACACACACACACAATCTCAAGGGACGTTTCAGTCCATTATGGTGGGGAAGCTGGCAGAAAAGAACAGCTCACACCACTGTGGGAAAGCAGCAGGGCTTGCTCCTTTTCCCTTTTTTCAGTCTGGGAACCCACCCACATGATGGTGTCACCCATACTCAAGGAAGGCCACTGTCTCTTAGTCCTCTCTGGAAGGGTCTTCACAAACACACCTAGAAGTGTGCTTTAGTAACCTCAAGATTCACCATCCCAAATCCATCCCTTGTCAATCTGACACTCCAATACATCTTCTCATACTATAAGTTCAATCCCTCCCCCATCTCCCAATGCTCCAAAGCTCTAGTCCAGTTTCCCTGAGACAGGAGCAAACACTTAGCTGTGTTCTCTGCTAGTATCAAGTTATATAGTCCCAAGTACACATCAAAAACATTTTTATTCCCAAAGTAAAGAATCCAGGAAGGAGCTGCCCAAAGCAAGACTGAAACCGGCAGTGCAAATATTAACTCCTGTAGTTGTCGGTACCCAGAGCTCACAGTGCTGTACCAACAGGCTTGGGAAAGTCAGCCCCTATGGTCTTACCATTTGCAGGCCACCTAGCCTCTCTCAGGGTGGCTCCACACTGCCCGATACTTTCCTTGGGATACATCCCACCTTCCTGGCATCACCAACATCCTGGGGTCTCCACTACATCCACCGTAGATTTTACCCTCACAGCTTCATGCACTGCCCTCTAAGGAGGTGCCTTCAGGAACTCTAACAATGTTATGTGTTGCCTAACCTCTGAGACTTTCCATCAAAATCTGTGTGGAGGCTTCTCTTGTGAGAGCCTGTGCGAGAAAGCTGTTATCTTACTGAGAACTATGGATGGGGTAGAGTGTAGAACATTCTTACCACAAGGTGGCCTTCTAGAAAGAATTGTATAAACTATGGTAAACTAAAACACTTGGAAGTAAGGACATGAAGGGAATATGCTGGCATGTCCGCATTATCTCTGTAGGAAAGGTAAAGGCCTGGGAGGAATACTCTTGGCTCTTTTCACATGACCAATGATAAGACATAATGCCAGGTATATTCCCTTGACATACTTGCTTAAGTTAACTATAAACTATAGATAAAAGTTTCTATCCCTTCCAGTTCCACAGCCCTTCGGTCCCAAATAAACAGAGGCTTATGTTAATTATAAACTGTTTGGTCTATTAGCTCAGGTTTATTATTAACTAGCTCTTACAACTTAAAATTCACCCATAATTCTTGTCTATGTATAGCCAACATGGCTTGGTACCTTTTCTCAGTAAGGCATTCATATCTTGCTTCCTCTGCATCTGTCTGGTGACTGACTCTCTACCTTTCCTCCTCTCAGAATTCTCCTAGTCTGGTTACCCTGCCTGGCTATTGGCCAATCAGTGTTTCATTAAACCAATATGAATGACAAATCTTTACAGTGTACAAGAGCATTATTCCATAGCATTTCCCCTTCTTTTCTTTTCATAACAAGAACCTTGAATCTAATCTCCTTTGTTTAGCTTTTTTCCTGACCATTATCCATTAACAACTTGCAACCAACATGCTAAACAAAGACAGATACCAATAATCTGTTTTTTTTAGGAATGTGGGAGTAGTTTTCCAAGCTACTTCCTATTGACTGGGGGCACTGACAATCCTTCCTATGAGAGCCAAAAATAATTAGGATTATGGTCAAGTCCTGACTGGAGTAATCTGTGAGGCTTGATCATCTCAGTCAGAAGTCTTGAAGCAGTTCTGGATGTAGAACTCAAAAGAAACTACAACAGAGGTGCTCTGAAACATCTCTGGGCCATTCCCACTGAAGATTTTTCAGAGGGTCTACTTCAGTCAAACCTTATTTTTTTAAAACCAAGAATGAATCCACAGCCTCTCATTTCCTGTAGAAACAAAAACAAAACCTCTTCTCCGAAGTAAAATATCTTTTGACTTAAATTTTGAAGGCAAGGCATTTTCTAAATATATAGGTTAGATTAATCCAGGAGCATTTACAATCAAATGTCTTTTAGCAGCCGTTGTTTCTTCCTCAGAAGTCAAACAACTCAAAGACAACACAATAGCATACAGTACCCAGACCGTATTTTCCATCTTTACATGACTTTGTCTTTTTTTTATTCTATTCCTTTTATTTTTAACTTTTGGGTTTGTTTTTTTTTTTGTTTTTGTTGTTGTTGTTGTTGTTTTTTGTTTGTTTGTTTGTTTTGATTCAGGGTTTCTTTGTGTATCTTTGGTTGTCCTAGATCTCACTCTGTAGACCAGGCTGTTCATCAACACCATTTAAGTGTTTAGTTGCAGGGCCTCTTAAAAGAGCTGCAAGGTTTTTGCTGCAAATGCTGACTCAGGAAGCCTCTCTTAAAGGAGCTGTGCCTCTCTGCCCCTGATTCAAAACCAGCCAAACAGAGCTGACCTAAGAAAATGTTGCTACCAAGAAGCCACGTTTGACTCTGTTCACATCTAGAATCCCTTCCCAAGCTCTCTCAGGTTTTATGTGGTTGTAGATGCCAAATGTCGAGTGCCATTTTTAGAGAGAGGTTTCTGTCCCACCCAGTCCCATAGCCCTTCAGTCTCAAATAAACACGCAGAGGGTTATATTAATTATAATTTGTTTAACCTATTAGCTCAGGCTTATTATTAACTGAATGACTCAGGCCCCAGAAAATACCTGATCCACAGCCCCCACACAAACAACTAGGCTCCAAGTCCTGACCAAGGAAAAAAAATACAACCTGAAAACATGGATAGAAATGGGTTTTTGATCCTACTGCACGTACTGGCTTTGTGGGAGCCTTGGCAGTTTGGATGCTCACCTTACTAGACCTGGATGGAGGTGGGAGGTCCTTGGACTTCCCACAGGGCAGGGAACCCTGATTGCTCTTTGGGCTTACGAGGGAGGGGGACTTGATTGGGGAAGGGGGGAAGGGGAGGCGGTGGCGGGGAAGAGACAGAAATCTTTAATAAATAAATAAATATTTAAAAAAAGGAAAAGAAAACATGGCCAGAGCCAGAGGAAGAGACATTTTGTCCCCAAACCTAGAGCCAGAGAAAAGCCCTGGAACCCTGAAACTGGGACCAAAAGGACACACTAAGTCCCTAGATTTAGGACATACTAAAGATATTTGCCTTGGTCCCAAGATTAGGGTTAAAAAAATAGGCTGGAGAGATGGCTCAGTGGTTAAGAGCATTGCCTGCTCTTCCAAAGGTCCTGAGTTCAATTCCCAGCAACCACGTGGTGACTCAACCATCTGTAATGGGGTCTGGTGCCCTCTTCTGGCCTGCAGACATACACACGGACAGAATATTGTATACATAACAAATAAATAAATATAAAAAATAAAAAATTAAGATAGAAGAACCAGAAAAAGAAGCACTTTGGCTTCAGAAACAGAACTATTTCTGCCCCTGACTCAAAACCAGCCAATCTCTGAGCAGGTTAAAGAGATCAACCAG